CTGAGTCGTGCTTCTCCAGAGAGAAGTTGAGAGAATGTTGTGCACAACCTGGGGGTCACAGAAACCTGTTTCCTCAGGAATATTGGCCCAAGCCAGACTTGGGTGTATAAATCACAAGAATTAAGCTTAAAGGAGCAGTAGCACACCCACATTGAGAAGGGGAAGAGGAGAGGAATGATCCATGTGACGTGATTTCTTTATACAGAAGAGCATGTCTGAGAAGGGTAGGACTGAGCTGAGCATGGAAGGTTCAACTGAAGTCACCTGTGGTGAGCCTAGAGCCCACAGCCATGGCCCTGCCAAGCTGCCTGCAGGTTTAGCTGCCTTCTGAAAAACTGTTTGAAGCACAGCAGTGCTGGAAAACCATGAAAGCAGCATCCTGCATGGGTAGTACAGAGGAAATACAGCAATGGGTGTCACGGTCATAGCACCAGTGTGGGCATGCGTGTTGTTAAATGAATTTTTGTTCTGTCTCCTAGCCATAGACTACACAGGCTGAGTCAGCTACCACCTAAACAATTGGTAAGACCTAGCAAACAAACAAAAGGCTTTGAAATATAGTAAATTCTGGGCTGTGATTGGATCTGCCCTGCAGCAGGTCAAAGGTGCATTCCAGAGAGATGTTTGCCCCAGCCACTGGAGGAATTGAAAATTAATGTAAAAAAGCAGTGTATTCAGTGTAGTATCTCTTCTGTTAGCTCAGCTGTGCTTTCAGAAAAATGCACAGTGCACTATGAAGTCAGCTTTTAAATACATTTATTACTCAACAATTACTAGGAAAAACAGGCATGGAGTTGTTCTTTCATCTTTTGTTTTGCTTTGTTTGAGGGTGTTTTATGGCAGGAACATTTAGAAGCAGAAGGTCAGGAAAAGAGATTTTTCAGACTTTGTGCTTACTTAACTCTTTATCAGGTAAATATCTTCATTTGGCTTAAGAGGAGCAGTAACATTTACTCTAGGCTTGCCAAAGTGGGGAAGCAGATCTGTGATGCTCCCCTTGAACAAGGGGATGTGGTGTACTAATGAATAAGGGCATGAGCTGAAGAGAGTTGTGCCCTGGGCCGCTCTGGGTGGAAATAAATGTTCAACATGGCATTGCCTCACTGCTGCTGGCACATGCACCTTGCTGAGCCCCCTGGTTTGCAAACTGCATGATCAGAGAAACAAAACCAGTACCAAAGGCTGTTCTTCAGCAACCACCATGCTGGCTAATGTTGATGTTCTGTTTTCAGCTGTAATTGTTGGCAATACCATGTCAAAGTAGGAAAGGGGGAAGTTAAATACCATCTTATAAGATATGCTGTAGGTGTACTCAGAGCACTTTTTCTTCTCACAGTCTTCAGAACTGGGGCTTTTTTCCCCATCCTGGTAGGTCAAAATGAAAATTGTGCTTTAGTTGGAGTTACTTTCCAGAAGCAGCAGCCAAATTGAAGGTATTTATGACTGCAGAGTATGGATAGATCAGGAAACAGTTTTAAGTGAGATTTCCAAATTACAATTCACCACCCCAGACCCCTTTTGACATAGCTGTGCTGACAGAAGCCAGTAATAGGTCTGGTGATTGCTCATTGCACACTCAACCTTCTTTGGGCTGCTCTCTTGTTTCTTAGTGCACACAGCAGGCAGATAAGTGTGAACCATTAAAATAACATTTATGTGATTGTTTAATGTTACTGTTTAATACAGGCTTGTGTGTATAAATCACAGGAGTTGAGCTTAATGGAGTAATAATGTAATAATCACATTGAGAAGGGATGAAGAGAGAAATGATGGTTGTGAGTTTTTTCAGGAGAGAAAGGTAAAGTGATCTGGGGCACTGTTTTCACTTGTGCTCCAGCCTTCCCATGTGACTTTGAATAGAAGGTTTTTGGTACCTCAGTTTCTTCTCCATTAAATTAGCATTCCAAACTCATGCCTGTAATTGTGCCAGTTGAGTGTAGAGAGAAGAGCTGCAGACCCACAGCTACAAAAAGGCCCAGAATATTGCAGAGGCTGGTTTTGAGAGATGCCAGTGCACCACCAGCCAAGTATGAGTGTAGGTGCCTCACCTGCTTAAAATGTTTTAGACAGTTACATTAGGAACCAGACTGCTGAGTGTCCAAGTGCCACAGAGATTACAGCTCTAGGGTCTTGCATGTCCAAACAGGTTTGAAAATGGAGACTTGTATTCCTTATTTGCTGAACAGATTCTTAAAATGCTCCTAAGTCATAATGTTTCTGTTGTTGCTTGTTTTGTCTAATTAGGTTCTAGCAGAATCTCTTTTACTTTGTGTTTTGCTGTGCTGGATACACATAGCCCTGATTTTAGTTCTTCTGTAGATGGAAGTTCAATAAAAATAACAATAGCTTTACTAATGAGGATAACTATGTGAAGCCAGGATTCATGCTAAATTAGTATCTGTTAGTGGCTTAGATCTATAATGAAGATTTCCTTGCCCTCTGTGTGTGTCTTAATTCATTACAGAGAAGTCCATTATACTTTATAAAAGACATTTTGACTTTTTTTCCTGAAACTGTTGCCCAAAACTATTGGAAAAGCAGGTGCTTTCCTGTAACATCAGAATGAGACAAATGGCACTGCTTGCTTTTATTGTTGTACAGAAGTGGTTTTCCTTTGGACACAGATGGACTTGGCAATGGAAAGTAGCTGGAGACTAATGGACACAAGCTTCAAAGCTTTCTGTGTGGGCCCTTGGAAGACAAAAAAAAAAAAAATCTCATTTTTGTTCTAATCAGTCTGGGTTAGAAAGAAAAGTACTCCAGCTCCAGGCTCATGGGGAACCTCTTACCTTTACTCAGAGGCAGAGTGGGCAGCAGGTGCTGTAGCTGTATGCATCTGCAGGAGAAAAATGAATGGGGTAAAAAGGAAAAAAAAAGAGGCAGAGGAATTTTGTGCCCTGGAGACTGGGTAATTCACCTGTCTACAGGTATTTATTCTTTAGGAACACTTTCAAGTCACAGCAGAAGAAATGCTAAAATTGTTTCAAGGAGTCCCCATACTTAAGAGTTAAGTGAGTGGGAACTGTATTCATTTGAATGTGAGTAAAACCAGTTAAATTCAGATCCCTTTTCTAATTTGTTGCATCAGAATCTTTCTCAGATCTGCTCCTCCATTATCCCATCAAATAGTCTCTATTTATTCATTTATTTCTTTCTTCACATACATTGAAGAAGAAAAGGGAAGGAGTCACTCCCCCCAGTGAGGACCATCTGCTCTTTTCTTATTGGGAGGGAAAAAACCCTACAATTAGTGTCTTGTTCATCTTTTTGTTTTACTAAAAAAAAAAAGAGGGGGAAAGAAAGTAAAAGAACTATTATGCAAATATCTGCAATTTGGTTTCAAATATTCTTTGTACTATGATGAGCAATTTCCTTTAATACAAACTCAACCTACTTGCCAGAACCATTTTTTATTTTTTTAAATTTTGCATTAATATAAGGAAGGGAAAAATCCCCCAACTTTTATGTTCTTCTGGTGGCAAATTTGTCTCATCCTTTTTTTTTTTCTTTCTTTCTTTCCTTGGCACTATTACAGCTGTTATTCTGTAAGCTGTCAGATGTCATATTGGGTTTTTTTGAGAAAAAAAAAAGAAGACAGCCAAAATAGCCTTACAGAGCCACAATTCCGTCTCACTTTTCCTTGTTCCATTGCCATGATGAAATGGTCTTGAAATGGAGGACTCAGTGAATGAGAGAGAAGAGCTTTCTCCTTGCTATATTTGAATAGTTGCTTGTGATGGCTGCATTACCTCTAAGAACAGTTATTTAGGGTTTTTATAAGGAGTTCCTGTGCTACTGGTCAGGGGTGTGAACTCTAGGGTCAAATAGCATAGCCAAGATTAAACCTTCTGGTCCTTGGTCCTGGACCAGCTTGGTAGCTGAAACCTAGCATGGTAGCTGAAAACTTCTCATAGTCTGGAAAAGGGAAATAAAGTGTTTTCTGTGTGGAAAGCAAAAGCATGGAAAAACAGAAATGAACTCATCCAAGACCTGATGGGAGAGGTGATGGAAGAATCAGATGCTGAGCTAAGAGGCTCAGATTTAGAAAGCAAGCATGGTGTAAATTACTTCATTACCCGTGGCTGTAACTGGAAGATTAACTCCCAATATGCAAATGGACCACACTTATAAAAGTGTCCAGTTTTTGGGTGTAGCCCCTGGGTGTGCTTCCTCTGCCCTAAATGTACCTGAAGGCCCTTCAATGAATGTAGCTGCTTTTTATGCCCTTAATTTTGGCTGGCCTCTGTTTGTTGGTAGTCCCAAAAAGGCATTAAAACAAGACCAAAGAGACTTTAAGTGAAGTGTGTCACACCTGCATCTTTTCTGTGGCTGCAATGGGACAGGGAATGTGGGGCAGTGCAGAGTTTTAGATTTGTGCAGACTCTTGTTTTTGGGACTCAGAACATCAACTTGGCATTACATCAGCCTGGAGATTCCCTAGGAATGCCTACCACTGGACAGACAGGAATTCATGGTGCTCAGGGGACACTGATCCCCTTTAGCCACCTGAGTATTGGAATAAATTGCATGGGACTCCATTTTCTTCATGGTGGAAAAAGCCCATTCTTTAGTCACATAACTCCTTTTTATACAGTTTTATAGACTTTGTGGGTGACTTTAATTGGTTAGTAGCTTTCTTGCTAATTATTTTATTGGTTAGTAACAAGTTGTTACCCTGTATTAATTGGTCACTTAAATTCTCAATGTCTATGTGCAGGAAAAGTTGTGAGAGATAGAAAAATGAAAACTATCTAATGGTGTAAAAACAGTTTATACAGGTGCTGGTTGTTTCTCACCCAGGAATAGATAGTTATGTTAATGAACTGCTCACACCAGGATTGCTTTCACATGGGAACTTGCAAAGGGCTAGCCTGACAAGGAGAGCAGGTTTGATTTTATGAAACCTTTCTTTATGGTTTTCCTACCTTACCACAACAACTCGAGTGCATTGAGTCTTTGAGCACCCTGGGGTAACCTTTGAATCACTTGTATTGTTGCAGGAAGCTCTCATCATGGCCAGCATGGACCACCCACACCTGGTGAGACTCCTGGGTGTCTGCCTGAGCCCCACCATCCAGCTGGTCACTCAGCTGATGCCTCATGGCTGCCTCCTGGATTATGTCCATGAACATAAGGATAACATTGGCTCCCAGCTCCTGCTGAACTGGTGTGTTCAAATAGCTAAGGTATGCAGTTCATGTTGGAGTTTTTGAATAATTTCTTATTGCTTTCATAATTAAATTTAAAACATGACTTTTTGTTTGCATTGGGTTTTTTTCAGGCCTGGTATTGTTTCTGAGAAGGTTGGGTAGTTCTTGAAATACACACTATTTTGGATGCTTTACAGTATTACAGATGACTTGTAAATATGTGAACCAAAGTGTTTTTCTTGCCTGTTGTCTTGGTTTGAAAAGACAGGTGTCTGCTAAGGAGGGCAGGAGCCTCCCTTGAAATGGAAAATGTAAAACCCTTCCCTACAAATTATTATAATTTTGAAATTAAGGGGCTCTTAGGCAAAGATATGGGAATAGGAATAACAGTTCTTTACCAGGAAAATTAAAAATACAAATGCAATAGTAGAAACAAACAAACAAAAACCACCCAAAAACAACAACAAAAACACCACTGCCAGAGTCAGAACATGCCCTGACCCCCTGTGTGTCAGGGTGGTGGCACAGTCCCATTCCATGGTGGCTCAGCCCTCCTGCAGTGCCAGCTGTGGTTCTGCTGGAGCAGGGATCCTGCACAAGGGGGGAGTTTTCCTCTGAAGCTCCAGGGGTGCTGGAGATGGGCCTGGTCTTCCTCTGGGAATGCAGGGGAGAAGAAAGCTGCTCCTCTGGGAATGCAGGGGAGAAGAAAGCTGCTCCTCTGGGAATGCAGTGGGCAAAGGCTGCTGTGGTGTTCCCAGGGTCAGATTGTATCCAGGTAGGAATGCTTGGCTCCTCCCCTGGGCAGAGCATTTCCCCATGGGATGATGGAATTTGATCAGCCATGCAGGGACACTCAGTGGCCATGAACAGAAGAGATCTCCTGGAGGGAGGATGGGTTGTGGAAGGGATAAAGAAAACTGCCCCATGAACAGAAGAGAACTGCCCCACCTCTGACAGATGGTGGTAGAATACCCCCAAACCACATCTTACAACCCAGGACAACTGTCTTTCAAACTTAATGAGGAGTTGTTTCTCGAGGTGAGGGTGAGTGAGGAAAGAAGCCCCTTTGTGAAATCTGGGGCTGGACACAAGGTGATTTTTCAGCCTCCTCTGTTGCTCACTGTTAATACATACACTGGTTTTCAGCTCTTCTGGGTCTGCATTGCCAGATCTGTCATCAGTTGTCTGCCAGGAAGATAAACATGTCCTTCATGTCACTCCTCACATGGTGATCCTGCTATGTTTGGGTCACAAACTATCCTTGGCACAATGTTTTACAGCTGGTTTTAGGCATGTTTAGGTGTTCATTGTTGTACTAAGAACAAGTACTCAGCACTAACAAAATTATTTGCAAAGAATAACAAGATCTTTCAGCGTAGAAGACCATAACTTATCCATTTTAAAGGTTGCTTTTGAACAACTAGGGTTGTTTACTACAAGTGGCAATTTGGAGCCTGCCTTTTGCATTGAGCTATTTGTTAGTTGTTTAAAGTTTTACATTATTTTGGAGAAAATGCTTGTTATAGACACATGCCCACAGACTGCTATCTTACATTAAATCTGCAGCCTTAAGTGAATTTCCTACAACATCTATTACAGAATCTTAATTCAAATTGTAATGTTAATCTTTTGTAATCAAGTTGTAATGTTAATCTTTTAGCACTGGAAGAGAAACCTGGAGATTCAGCAATTGTTTTGCTGGACTCAATATTAAGTAAACATTTGCCTCTTTTAACAACTTAAATACAAAAATATGTTCTTATAAAAGTAAGAAAATGTAGAAATCCAGCTAGCCCTTTTTTGTTCTTCAGGAGGAGCAGAATTTTGGGGAGCATCATGAATAGGGCCTGTTTTCTTTCCAAATCAGATCTGTTTTAAACCTTGCTGAAGAAGCAAGTAGATAAAGTGGCTGTAGGGCTGGGGAGAGGTGGGGAGAACCCAAATCTGACATTGCAGCATTTTGTAGATGTGTCAATGTCCTGTGCTGTGGTGGTAAAGCAACCAGAGTTGCTGGGGAGTACAGGAGCTCACCAATGGGAATTGCCTGTGTGGAAACGTGAAAAGGTTTATTTAGGGCTGATACCAGACCTGGGAAGGTGGGAGACAAAATCCATGTTCCTGTTTGAGTCTTTCTCTCCACACAGCCTCCTCCCCATCCGTTCTCCACTATTTGATTGATGGTGGCTGTGATTATTTAATGCAAAGCATTTATACAGTGCCATCCCTGCAGAGGTAATTCTCCATGATTTTCACTTTGTGTGTGGATATGGCCCTTGACTGCCTGGGCCAGGGCTGTGCTGGCTTTGCTGTGAGCCTTGTAGTGGGGCAGACAGCCTGATCCACAGCTTACAGAGCTGGCAGATCTCTGGGAGGGCCTGTGGAAGGCAGGTCCTGGCTTTCCCATGGTGGTTCTTACCAAAGTGTGTGTTGGTGGCTTTTCACACACAAAATGGGGCTGCTGGGGTTCATTCCTTGAGCTTCTATTGCAGTAGCAGCCTCATTACATGGCTGAGACAATTGAGAGTTGGCAAAGCTTATGTACAGCCAGCAGCAGCCAAAGATTTCTTTGTTACAGAGCATTTTAAAAACTTCCCAGCCAACAGCACATTGCTAAAGCTCACAGACAGTTGTTCTAGCCAATCACTAAAAGTACACCTGCTTCACACAATCCTTACTTGTATTCTTTTTATTAATAATACACAATACTTCATTATTAAGCTTAAAACCTTCTACTATCTTGCTAAGCATATTTTTCTGCAGTCTTAAAGTTGATTTTAGCCAAGCCAAAAACTCAAGCTATAGTTTGATACCCTTGCTTTCTATACTACTGTACTTTTTCTACTTTCAAACTTTACAGCTGCAGCTAGCTCTAAGTTTTCTATTCTTTCTGTTTCTAAGGCCTACTTTTACAGCTTTCTAGAAATCTTTTTAACTTTACTACTTCCCACATTGTGAAGCAGCTTCTAAACTTATTGCCACTGTACATGGCTTCAGCATAATGTGGGGTTTGGATTTAAGGACATTCCCTGGGAAATTGTTGCTGCTGCTTTTCTTGGTCACCCCTGTGATGGGGGAGGAGAAAATGAGGTGTCACAGACATGTGAGAGATCTGGGGTGGTAACCAAACAGTGCAAAGAAGTGAGATCAGAAATGTAATATCAACTGATGCAGTGTCAGGAAGAGAAAGGGAGTTCCTTTATGATAAAAGGTGGCCTGTTACTGATATGAGTTTAGTGAAGTTTATTTATGCTAGTTTATTGAAACTAATTAAATTTATGTTCTTCCACATCACAATAGTCATGTCAAGTGTGATTAGAGGGTGTGCACAAAAAATTGTTCCAGCTATGGTAAGAGGAAAAATCTTTGAGATCACCAGACAAGGAGTTTCCAAAAAGTAGAATGAAAATAATACGAATTTTACATTAATCTGTCACATTTACCAGTGACTAGGAAACAGGAAAGGTACCATTTGCCTTGAAATAAACTGATCCCCAGAGGAATGAGTGCAGAAGGCAGCAAGAGGCACAAATTCCTATTCACTGCTGGAAGGTGCACATGTGTGTCCCACATTGCTGTCCCCACTGTGCCCGTGTTTCAGGTGCTGTCGTACAGCTTGGGAGTGTTTCTGCACGTGTTGCTATCCTAGGCTGTGGGGAATGATTGTTTGTGTCTTTCTGCAAGGTACCAAAAGCGTGATTAGCAGAGTAGTAAGAGGCAAAAATCATCAGTGACTTCCCAGTCCTGTTCTCTGCTTCCTGAAGCAGCTCCTGGTATCTTTTGCTAGATGCATTGTTCTACCTTCACCTTCCCTATTTTGTGGAGAGGATTTTCCTTAGCAAGAAGAGGACTGAAACCACTGGAAACGCCTCAGGTCTGAAGTTCAGGCTGATTTTTAGGAATTGTTTAAAATCAAGTTGCTGTTGTTACACAGTCCCTCCCTAACAGTGCTTTTCTCCATCTGCCAGTGTGCAGGCACTTATTTATGGAAGTCATTGCTTCAGAGCTCACTTGTTCTGCCAGGCTGTTCATTTCCATATGTCTCTACTTCTGTACAACTAGATGCAAAGCTAGTTAGCCACAATGCCTGCTTGCCAACCCACATATGGCTCTGGAGATAGCTTCTGAAGGTTGATGACAGGGCAGTTATAAAGCATTATCTACTGCCAATTGGAAAAGGCTTGGGTGCTTTTCCTCTTTGCTTATACAGATTGTGTTGAATTTATTCTGATGTTACATCATTGTAGGGTAATTGTGTTCTCCTTCCAGAAGCTTTAGCTTCTTATTTTATGGATGAGAGCTATAAAAATAGAGTAGCCCCCAAGCATTCTGCATAAAACATGGTTGTTAGACAGCAGCTGTGTCTAAGGGGGCTCTTCCCTTCTGCTCTGCAGATTCACAAGGCTTCTCCTGGTGTCTCACTTCCATGGGGACTGTCTTACTTAGAAATCAATGTTTAACCTTTTAGCTCTGAAATCAGCACAGCAGTTTTATGTAGAGTTTGCTGTCCAGTAAAGCAGTGTGCTTTATGTAAGTGTGCTCATGTATCAGGGTATTTTGTAGTGGGAGCAAGAGTGTCCACCTTGGTGACTTCAGGAAGGAGGGAATAATAGTCCATGAACACCTTTAGTGTTGGCTCCTTGAGAAGTGGGTTGAAACTCCAATTCTGTATGGATGGCACAAGCTTGGAAGTGAATTCCCAGCAGGTGAATCCTTCTCAGCCAGGGTGTGACAGGTCCGGAAGATTCCACAAAACAAACAAACAAAAAAGTGCTGTGTGCATTGATATTTCAATGTGTTGGATGCAGTTTCTCTCAGGGCTGCCCCAACATCCACACCCACAAAACTTGGAGATGTGGGGGTGAGCATATTCTCATGGAAATGCCTTCAAGAAGGGAAAACACATCTGGAGGGTTTTAGTCAGGAAAGGTTGGTTTCCCTCTGCCACTGGGTGAGGTTATCTAAGGGACCTGTATTTGAGGCTGTATTCTCTCTCTCTTGCTCTAGTGGAAAATAAGCTGGAGTTCTGTTGGAATTAT